TGCTTGAACGGCTTCCGATCTGAGGTCCGATGCAGCTGATATGGCAGCCTCTCTGACCCCCGCAACTTCTTGAGTTGCCTGTGCTCTAAGCTCCGCACTAGCAGCCGCAACAGTCATTTGGGTGTACAGTTCGGGGTTTACCCCATGAGCATGCTGCTCGACGTTTATTGACCTTTGATCAAAGTTCACTGATCTTTGGTCATGGTTCATGGTCTGACTTCCCCTGAAATCATGCGTTCCTTGTTCAGCCCTCATTTCAATCTCCATAGCACTTGGCCTCAAATCAACCAACGAAGGTAAGCTACCCCCGCTAGACGGTGAACCCGAAACATGTTCTTCCATCCTAGGTGGCAACGTAGCTTGGGGATGTGGGCTACGACCCCTCAATGACTTAGCGAGGTAGGGGCCCGGACGTTTTCTCGGTGCTGAACTAGGGTCACTCGACGAATCTCTCCCACTCCCAACAGCTACCGATGGAAGACCAATTTGCTCCGAACTACCACTGGTCAGTTGAAAGGACGTTGAACTCGACCCTTCCCCTTCCATTCAAGAAAAGATTCGATGTTTCGCTCAAAGCAGCAGATGCGCAACTCCCCGCGCCAGGCGCAAGGTGAGCCGCAAGCTTGTGAAAATCCCTGGCCACCGGGTCCTATAGACTTTAGGGATATAGCGACGGCGACCTATTTCCACAAAAGCTTCTGCCACACTCGAGGCAACGAAAAACCCTTTTGAAGGATTATGCAGATTAGGATTTACAATGATTGTGTCAACACCCCTTTCACGCAATTTCACTGCTAGATCAAGTCTATCGTCTATGTGTACTGCAACTTCCTCTGGCACTAAGGCAGGTTTATCCCTGTCACTAGTAATGAGAAGCCTGAGGTCGGTGAAATTACTCTGGTTGAAAGAGTGCAGCTCACGGATTGCTTCTGATCTGCGTTTGTTGCTTGAATGCCCGTGCAAACCTATATAACTGCAAACACCTGCCTCGTGACGCCTGTCGGTGTGAAGCCAATTAGCTAAACAACACTTTGCGTCAGTTGACCAACACCCTTCAGTTGCCGCACCTAAGTCAAGAACCCCGTGCAAATCTATGGAAATACGAACGGTGGCCCCTTCAGGGATCGGTGGTGAGGGGGGCCCAATTCTCAACCCGGGATTTGGTCGAAGTCCTAGGTTCGCAGCCTCCGACAGCAACTGGACACCCTTAGCTTTCACACCTTCAGCTCTTGAGTCTTCAGGCTTCTCCTCGGACTTCCTCTTTGAGGGCAAAGCCAACCCTACCTCTGTGGGGTTTGGGGGTGTTTCAGGAGTTGGGGTACCAAGTCTACTAGAACCAGCGCTGGGACCTAGGGACAGCGAGCTACCAAAACCGACCTTGGGCGAGACCAAGCGACTTGGCTCAGCCGAAACGACCGACGACTTGGGCTCTGAGACTTGAAGGGTTTCCGCGTTAGAAGGAGCACTTTTCGGCCTTGTTTCTTCTAGCACTACCCTTTGAACAACAGCTTGGAGCCTTTCCACGCCCGCTTTGCTAGTTGGGGCAGATCTGGGGTTGTGATTCCCTCTAACGGTTTCCTCTGTTAGCTCCTTAGAACGCTTTGTCTTCTGCCCCCCCTTTCCCTTCTTGGCATACACTGGCCAAGATTCGCGAAGAGAGCAGTCGAGCAGCCGCGGCAGAGAAGGGAGCGCAAGGACTCGAAGAGGAGGGCAATAGAGCAGCAATGGCAAGAGAGGCGAAGGACTCAAACGCGGAACAAGGGAAAGATAGAGACCTACGGCTGATAACCACACAAAACAGTGGCTCAGCCTTTCTCACACTTGAGCCAAACATGTTCAGGGACACTATTTATCCCGCGGAGTGAAAAGACCCCTTGTTTACTTCGTCCATCTTCCATGAGTTGAACAAAATACGGTAGAAGCCCACCGAAACCAACCATTCCCGTGGAGGGTCTAGGTCTCAGACCAGTCGAGTCATCGAATCTATTCCACTCCCATCTCTTGCCTAGACACCTTGGGTAAGCAAGGGCCGGGCAAATCATCAAATCTCCCGAAGGACCTCTTCCGTTTGGCGGAGTAGTCCGGAAGACTTACTGATTTGCCAAGATGTAATTACTTGATTTCGATGCACCATGATAAATCTAAAAAAACATATACCAGGACCTTCCAACAGGTGGTTTTTGGACACCCCTTTGCCTCTTTTGAGGCTGTGAATAGAAACCTCTTGAAAGGTGCTCGTATACCAGATGTGTAGCGATCCACTTTTTTCTTCCAAACAAAACCTTACGTCGTCGGTCGCCCGTCTACACCTCCCCGAAAAAAACACTCGTAGGGGTGAGTGTCTCTTCATATCAACACCCTTTCCCGGTGCCTCACCCGCCCTGCGGGTGCCTCACCCAAGCGATACTGGCCTCATGCAGGGGGAGCGGACGCGGAGCGGACTCGGGTGATAGGCAGCGTGGGGGTCGAGTCAATCTGCAGAGTGGAAACCTAAGGTAGGAATTCATGCAGTTTCACCCTCCCCATCCAAAGCCAGATGGACAATGACCGAGACTTTCCAGACCTGATGCTTTTTCCACAAGTCTACCAGGTGGGGATCAGGTGGTAGGAATTCGATCGCGAAGTATATCAACTGATCTGGCAATGTCTTCCAGCACACTGAAGTTTAAGTGGTTGATTGTGATTCGAATGGTCCACTGGGTGAGGTCAACACATCAACTGGCTGTGGGAGGCGTGATCGCAGCTCAACGAAGCACTGAGATGTGCTCCTATTGCTGAGAACCATCGGAATCCCTCATCCAAACCTTCCAACCAGAAAACACTTATAGCAGGACCTTTGGACACCCCCAATCACCTCTTAAGAGGCTATTCAATAGACACCTCAGAAGGAAGGTGCTTGTATATACCTATATACAATATATATAATATATAACTATGCATGTTAGATCATCAACTCTGCCGCTCCAACACGGACCACGTCACCGAAGACTTCCCCGCAGTCTCGCTCCGCTGAGTCCCGGCCTTTACCGTCCTGGGAGATCCAGTGGTGTTCAAAGCGCGTCCCCTCCAACTCCTCCAACGAGCGAGGCCGGCAAAATCCCGCGAAGAATCACGGAGGTTCCATAGAAGTTGAAGAAACTCTGAGGTGAACCAGGTGGTTCAACACGTGTCACAAATAAGGCAGCAGCAGCTTCAACGGCTTCAGGAAATGGCCTTTGGGTCCAAAAACTAGGAGACCTTGGTTGACCTATCTTTTTCAGGTCGTTCGCTACGTGGTGGACTGTTCGGGCTCCAGGTTTTGACCCATCCCCCAATCCTTCTCCCACTTCTCTCACTCCACTGTCCGTTCAAAAACTCTCCTTCGCCAGGAGGCTGCACACTAGGGGCCCCTCCTCAGAGGTCCCCTGCCTTAGTGGGCACCGATCAAATCAAACTAAGGTCATCATCATCATCATCATCATCTGGGTGTCAGAAGGCAAGACGACTTATGTGTTGCAGTTAAGAGAAGCGACAAACTAGACTCCATATATAGGAGTCTAGCACCTGTGCACAAGTTCTTTTTCTGAGCATATTGCTACATTATTATGGATATCAATCGATGTTGGGGGTCATATATCTGGTTACCCGTAACTACTTTTAAGCTACCCTGGAGGTGGATTGCTACTTCAAAGAATTAATTTGGAAGTGGTATGAAAATGGGATGAAGTGGGTTGGATTGCAATAATGCTCTTCCTCAATTTGTAGCCTTCACCGGAAACAGCTCATCCTGGACACGCTTGGGCCACCAACTGAATGGCATCCAAAAAGGTGTCTATTCCAAAACTTAACTCCCTTCATCTCCCTTCTCTCCAGACCCTTGGCAGATGCTAGCTGCTAGATCTTTCCATCTACCATCTCACCTGTTCCCAATCACATACCTCCCCCCCATCTCAGATACCACAGCCTTCCATCATCTTCCATCTACCCTCCAAGAGTCACTTTCGCGGAGTCCAATCTCCCCGAAAGTTGGTGGAGGCAAGAAGTCCTCTGGTCATAAAGGTCCACCGAACCATGATTGTTGGGAGGGCCATGGAGATTCTGAATCTGAGGGCCTTGGTTCCCGTAACACTCCATGTACGACATACCGGGTTCGGTACAATTAAAAGGCCTACAATGGCATTACATTGACCCTTAAAAAATGAAGTACAGTGTAGCATACTGCGGCCTCCATGGAGTGCCCAGGTGTTGGGACACCCATGGAAATCTGTCCGGCTGCACCGGACCTCAACGCCGGACATCATGTCCGCTGCCCTGGGCCCCACGCGTGAGTGCCTCAGTGACCTTCTCGAGGGCTGCGGTGCGATCGCCTCAGGAGCGAGCAGGGTGTTCTTGGCCGAAAAGAGCAGGGGGGTATACAGGGCGTTTGGAATGCGGGTGCACAAAAAAATATATCCGAACTCGAACGGCTCAAATCCCCAAGACTGTTGATGGCCAAGACTGTTTATGGCCAATCCTACTTATATAAGTCATCGGGATTTGAGCCAAGCGTCTTGACGGGGGTATGATAAGGTCCGATACGGTTGGCGGCTTTGCTGATGTGTGTGGTGCATACCACATGGTGCTAGGTCAGGATAACATGGGCAGTTTTGCCGATGATTTTTGTGTGCCCCAAAACCGTTTCAAGGTATGATGTTTCAAACAGTTCGATGTCATGTCGTGCGCATCTGGTCCTGTTTCATGTCCTGGTCGCTCATCTGCAGACTGTCGGAAGTGTGGACCGTATCGTCTGCAGATCGTCACTCCCACCCCCCCAGAAGCTTCGGACCATCAACTAGTCTATCATAGTCTACCCATTGGTTGGAGGTCCTACATGTTTTTTCCACATTCCCCCACTGACCTCCGAAGCGAAGTCTTTTTTACATTCCGCCCGAAAAACGACGTCCCACTGAAGCGTGGAGGACGCATGAGGACACTGACCGCGTCCCGTCCCAGCTCAGTGGTTCATCTGTTCGCGTCTTACATCACGAGCTCTTGGAGCTCGCGAGCGCTTCGTCGATCTTAGCCTTCAACTGGTCGGTGACCTGATTGAACAGCTTCTTTACGTCGAACAGGTCGGCGGAACAGGTCGGTGCCCTTGGATGTGAATCAAGTTAATCTAACTCCAACCTATCATCAGAGTGCCCCTGGCGTGAACAACGCCAGAGTTGTTTGCTCGCAACGACTGGCTGGCACGCTGATATATCTCAAAAAATGCGGCGAAAAACGAAGACTTCTGTCTGATGCCATGACGACCTGCCGGACTCTCCATGACACGTGCCTTGTACTCGGTGTTGAGCTCCACCACCTTGGTGGCCAGTTGGCCTGCCAAGTCGGACCCGGCCAGCACCAAGCTGCCCAGGGTGTCCTAGGGATGGACCAGGGACGGTGCGAGGACTGAGTCGCGAGCGTGTGCGTGGCGCTCAGCGGTGCGCAGCGGAGCGGAGTTCAGCGGAGAGCGGAGCGGAGTTCAGCGGAGAGTCGATGAGGGTGAGCGGAGTCAGCGCGCCTGAACACGAAGGGCGGAACGCGGCGGAACATGTGAATGGTTGGTGAAGTGCGGTGAACACGTTGAGGGGCGCGCCTCGGGGGTGAAAACGCAACCGGAGGATCGTTCCATCTGTTTTGAGCCTAGGAGTAACCTAGTAGCCTACAGGAACCTCTAGTACCTGACTGCAAGAATTTGGGAAGCCTCAGCCTCAGCCATGGATGGATGAAGCATGATCCACTGAAAGATCCCCAGCTCCTTGATGCCGACATCCTTGTCGAAGCTGTCGATGGCACCATTCACTGTGCCTTTTGGCAGTGAATTAGCTGCGGGATTGCGTCCATAAACAGTAGCTTAGCGGCTGCACCCCATTCCGATGTTCACAGACTGTCAGCATCTTTCGGGCTGCGAGAACCAAAACACCAAGGCTGGAATCCATGCTAAACCTGGTCGTCACCAAAAAAGAGCACCTCCGAATTCACCCCGATTCCGAGGTGGCAAATAGTATTTTTTTTCAGCATCCAAACGTCCCAAACGTCTGGGCCTAGCGCATCCTTCACGGTCGTGGTGGTCTCGCCCTGGTTGGAGTCCAGCGCTTCGTTCACAGCCGTGCCCACCTTGTTGGAGACCTCCTGAGGTCGAGGTGGTTCGGTGAAAGGAGGCACACAGCAGGTTTCGGGCAGGAGCGGGCTTCAAGCTGACTGACAGGAGCAGGTTGGTTTAAAATGAGTTGATCACTTCTTGCAAGACTGAAGCCACTCATCTTGTGGCTACACGCTTTCTTACATCAAGTGGCCCCTTGTGTATACTGGTTAGTTGGCAGGAGCTGATCTGTCTGAGTTGGTGTAGCTGGAGCACCAATGGAGCAGTTATGTCAGCAACCTCTAGGCCAAGGTTCCTGAAATCCATCCAGATTCCTTGAATCCATCCAGATTCCTTAAACCCGCCCAGATTCCTTAAACCCGCCCAGATTCCTTAAATCCACCCAGTTCCTTAAATACACCCAGTTCCTTAGATCCTTGACTAACCCTGGGCTTTGACCAACAAGCATCGTACTTCTTGTTGAGGTAATCCACATAGTTCAAAGCCTCCAAGGATGCGGCAGACACACCCTTCAGGACGGTGGAGACATCCTCAGCTTGGCGGTTTAAAAGGACGGAGCACCTGACTTCGGGGTGAAATCGATGAAGTCAAATCTGGGTATGTCCCGTTGTTGCCTCTAAAAAAGGGTGCAAATCATGCTCTACAACAAGAAAGGTTGATCACGCAAATGAGCGCTTTCCAAAGTCCATCTAGTAACTTGTGTCTTTCTTGAGGGAACTTATTCAGGGGCGGATTACTAGTCACCTTACCTTACTGTAGAAAGGGGGAAGTCTTGCTGGTTCACTGGATCAACTCGCCAGTACAAGCAAAGGATCATCCTCCTTCTTTGCCAAGTAGGAGGTGGCCACAAAACCTTGGGCATTCGACATATTGACTGCGATATCTGAACATGCCCCGAGCCTCTGCTGCGGATATCCAACCTTTTGGAGACCTTGACAAAAATATTCACCTTTACACAAAGTCCTGCACAATTCAATGGCCAAGTCCAGTTGCTATTACATGACCAGCTCAGGCCTGAAACGCACTGTCTCTTCAGCAGTGTCTGCAAGTCAAATAAGTGGCACGGCCAAGCAGGACAAATCTGGACAATACACATCACAAATCACCTAGCAGGAGTTCCATCATGTTACAACTCCATCCGTCCAGCTCCAACCCCCATCAGCCCTGTCGGCTTCGCGCGTACCCAGACCCCTAAGCCCTAAGCTGAGAGAAGATCTGTTGAATCCGTTGTTGCCGAGTTCCGCTGGCGAATCTGTGGGGTTCAGCACCTAAGGTTCCAAACCTGGTTAAAGAAACAACACCTCACGCCCACGCCCCGAGGGCGAGTAATGATCACGCTGGTCCAATGCAGTCCCAAAACATCCGTAAACATTTGACCAGGAAGCATCAGCATTGGCCAATCACCAACAACAAAATGAAAGAGCTCTCTCACCCAAAAATACCAGTGCCCGCTTCACCACGAAAGAATGGAACAATACCAGGAGGGTATACCGGTATCCTTCTTAGAAAAGTCAACCTCCTTGGAGGGTCATCAGGCATGTGGTCGTCCTCTTGGTGCTCTCCAGGCCACCGGCGGCACCAATCCAGAAGCCACCCAGCAGCAGCCCGGTCACACCACCCAGGACCTGGTTGCTGCAGATTGGAACCCAGGACCTGGTTGAGGGTGAAAGGATCTGAAAAGAGCTGAATCTATTTGGGGTCAACAAAAAAAAGTAGCTGACAGTGGATGATGCTTAGAAAAAGACCCAGGTCTCAGGTGCCCCCGAAATAGTGATAGTCTTTTGGTGACTGTTACTGGTATGCATGGGAGAGAGAGAACCTATAGAATCGATCATATGATGAGGCCATGACTTATGATCATGACTCAAATGCAGTTACCGGACCTGCCCGCAAACCAAAAAAACACAACACCCAGGGTAGATCCACCCGAAATCAGGTGCCAAAGAATAAATGGTCCATGCACATTACCAACATCATCTCGACCTGGTGTCGTTCAGCATTGATGAGAAGGGAAGAGAGGATATTATGCTTCCCTTGATGCTATTAGGTTGGAGGCCATCGCTAGTAGGTATGAGAAGATATTATGCTTCCCTTGAGGTACATGAGAGATCAAACTTCATGTCAGGTCTCTCCTGTTGAAACTCAGATAGACTGGGTCTCCACTGGGTCTTGTCCGGTTCTTCCTTTTTGTTCATTCGATCTGCCGGACCTTCCTATGTTGAAAACAACATCTGGAACACAGTCGATATGCTCTGACTCACGTTCCATGAAGGTGGATGGCATGGATAGCATGGTCCATTGGAAGAGGAGCTTCCTCTTGAGGACAAAGGGGTTTCCACTTCCATCTTGGGGAGTTTCCAGTGTGAGCCGCTGCACGCCCCTGCATGTTGGTCATGTTTCTGCTTCCTCTTGAGTGCAGGCATTTTCTTCGACATGCTGCAGTCTTCTTTCCCATAGTCAGTGGCAACAAATACCCTATTCCCCAAAGATCTGTGATCCCCATTTTTAATCCCTGTCTACTAGCTGATGTTTCTCTCCAAAAGGGAAAAACTCACCACCACCTTCCTCTCTTATCTCTCTTGCCATAGTCTATCCTGAATCCTATCAGTGTTTTTTTCTCTACAGATCTGCCATACGGGTCACGGCCCAGCGACCCCAGCAGTGGCGATGGTGTTCTCTTTGGTCACCTTCACCAACGCCACGGAGGATCCACCACTCGCGGGCGCAGCCGCGGGTGGAGTGCCGGAAGCCGCGGCCTCCAAGATCACGGTGGTGCGTGGAACGGGCGCTGATTGTGGGCCTGGCAGTAGCGCAGGAATGCAACAAACACTGCTAAGATAAGGAGGATGGTGAGGAGGAAGAGGAGGATCCACCGCTTATTGCAGAATATGGCCCATGGCGAGAACCATCCGATTTCATCGGATTTCGGTGATTCCGAGATGTGAAAGGAGACGACATGATGATCTGGTGTTGACCATCCATACAATTATTACTTGTTGATGTTTTATCTATTTTGTTTCATCTTGCTTCATACCAGCTTGTCACTTCAGCGTCATCAACAAAACATCCATCTCGCTGGTTCATCTCACTCTCGCAGATCTCCACCGGTCTTCTGCCCGCCTACGAAGCACAACGGCGCACAAAGAAGAGCCAAAGAGAGCAGCAAGCCGCGTCCCGCTCGGACAGATGCCATGCTGGGGAAAATGGGCTTTGGCGAGTTCTGCGCCACGAGCAGGCGGCTTGAGCTGTGCACCGGTTCTGCAGTCCGGACGCTTTCTGGATGCTTTTCGGGGTGACCAGGAATCATGGGATTTGTATAGGTTAGAGATCCACATCGGCAGGTGCCCAAGGACCCTCCTGGTGCCTAATTATCTTCGAAAAGTGTCCAATCATCCAAGACCGAGACCGGTATGTGAAGCCATAGACTCACATATACATCTATATATATAACTATATATAATTACACCATGACATTGCCAAAGACCAACTAAAATCCGCAGGTCGCCCAGGCATACACGGTTGCAGTCCAGCTCCCCCCGCCTTGTGCATTTTAAATGCAAATTTATCGAAAGAAAGCTGTTCGGGAGACTTGACTGTTGAAACATCCGTTGATTCCCATGCAGCATCATGCAAGCCGTTGGAAGCCTATCAACTGGGCTTTTCCATGACCTGCTGCATCCGGCAAATCCCAGACTTCACCAACTCCAGCCTTGGTGACCGACTCTGGAAGTCTTTCTTGATTTCAGACAGAGGAGCCAACTAGAAACGAGAACATACTGGAATTGAACTCTTCACCTTTACGTTACAATCTGATCACAACAGTGCTATCTCTTGGGTCTATCCCAATACCTGTAACAGTGGATGATGATGGTTCAGTTGCAGGCCTTGTTCAAAAATAGCAATAGTTATTTACTGTCTGACTGTTACAAGCTGTTACAAGCAATAGGACAAACCCAAATAATCTCTATCTCTTCCCTCCCATCCTTCTCGCCCTCCAAAAAGCGGCCCACTGAGATGCCGCACTCACCAGCTCCTGACCCATCCCCTTCAGCTGCTCAGCCTGGATCTGAGAATCGGCCATAAAATGCTATTTTAAAAGTACCCCCTGCTAAGGAAACACAATTGTAACTATTTTACATTCTTTTGGATTCATCCAATCAATCATTTATCATGTTGGATGAAACCCCAAAAAACAACGACTGACAGCCACGAATCATCTGAAAACCCCCAGGTGAGACTTGTAGATCCGCTCCGGCCCAAACTTTCGCCCAAAACCTCTGATTCCAAGCTCTCCGCGGAGCGCATGGGATTGGAATCGGTGTCGCTCTAGGCTTCCGGACCAGCTTGTTGCACAGCTTGGCACGGATCTTCCCACGATCTGCGACATCCGATGTCCGCAGCACATAGGTTTGGTGGGGTCCGGGCGGTGGCGGATGGATTTCAGTGTGAAGACCTTTTGATCAAATGTCCAGCAAGTCACAAGTGTCCAATTCCTAGGGCTCCTGGCCCATCTCCTCAGGTTCTGTGGTATCCGACCCCCCAAGTCCACCCACCCCAGTCCCATCGAACCGAAACGGAGGTGGGCCAGGAGGTGTAGGGAATCGTCGAAAGTCTGGTTTCCGGTTCGGTCCTCCTTGGTTCATTTGTCACGTCGAGAAAGAAAGGAACAATTTCCCAAACACTCCATGTATGGCATATATGACTACATTAGGGTGGTTTGGGGGGTCAATGTAGGCATATATGGCATACATGGAGTGTTTGGGAATGGTTCTTCAATCGAACCTTGGTTGAAAACGGATGTTTGTGGAGATATATGTCCAAGTCAAACATCTTCAACTTGGGTGGGAGATCGTGCAAATAACCCACGATGCTTAAGAATGACTGACTCTTTTGGTGGATTCCATCCCACACGGAAAGTTTCAGTCATTGGCAATTGGCATGCATCTTCCCATGCTGCAGGTTTACATTTGGATTGAACATCGAAAACATCAATAACTTTGGGCGAAGACCACGGGGTAAAATCGAATCCTCGAAACACGTTCCTTTTTCCGCAGCAAACTGCCGGTTGAAAATTCAACTGCATGGACTGTATAGCTGCCTGGCACAAAAATGAAAGACTGCGAAACAAAACCCCTAAATGACCAGAAAATATCTATATATAGTACCTGGAACTCCGGGAGGATGTTGAATGTTTTCTGTTCCCAAGTTTTTGATGTGCTCTAGCAGCACACGGCCGCGACAGTTCGATCAACTGACCGCACGCGTGTAGTCGTCCAAGAGCTGCTCGTAGGTGTCCTTGAGACACTCGAGACGGCCCTGGTACACGTCTGGGTCCTCAGTTCATCTTAGCTCCCCGTCCCGTCTGGTCGCCGATGCTTGGGGCATCTGGCAGGGGGATCCACACGCGTCACGTGTTTTGTCGATCCAGCGCCGAAAAACATACACCTCTTTTGGTTGTTGCCATGTAAATAATAGCCAGTATGTATGTGAGGTAAGGATATCGCACAAGTATGAGTCCCAGAAAAAACCTCATGTCTTTGTAACAGTAGCGTATGCCGTATGTTCGACTCTTGCAGGGTTCAGCGCTTTCACACAACACCGACAACACCAAATCGAAAAGCATCTCGGGACAAAACACACGAACTACGAGGGACACACTGCTCACCCAGTGGCGACAAGGAGTAACATGTCCTTCAAATGTGATAAATCAAACAACTAAGTTACAAACAAAAAACAGAGAGCAACTGGAAATAGAACTGGTATATAACCCAAGGTGCCGGATAAGATTCTTGGATCTGGAGCAGGAATCCTTCGATCTCCTTCTCCAAGTTTTCCCTCTCAGCCTCTTGGTTGGCCCTCCGTGCCCTGG